TGGAAAACCTTGTCGAGCAATGGATCCCGACAAGGGGCATGACCATATTTAGTGGCGGGCGATACTCGCCACGTCACAGCGCTGTCCGCAGATCTATGTGACGTTTTCAGCGGAGAACCCTTGCCAGGAGTAAACCCACCACACCCTCGAGCGCTGCCGCTGCTCGTCCGCGACCGCTTATTCGGTAGGCCGAAGCCCACCTTATTCNGCGGCCGTTCCCCTATCCGCGACCTGGGGACGCGCTCGGTAGCATACAGCTCTGCTCTTCCGAGTACAGCTCTGCTCTTCTGTGGTCACCATCTCAGAATCATGGCTCGTTGGTCACGACCATGTTCCGACCCTAGCTCGTGAAGCCTATGAGATTCATAGACGGGATCGGAGTCCACGGCCGCAGAGTGGTGGAGTAATCATATTAGTTAGGGAGGATATCCAGCAAGTTAGGTTGGATATTCAAGTCTGCACGAGCAACATACAGATGTGCTCAGTCACCATCACCTCTGAGGGGAATAAACTCAACATAGCTTGTGTATACAGGAGTTCTAGTGCTATGGAAACGGAGGACGAGCAGCTCCGATCAGCATTGAATATCCTGGCTCGAATGCCTCAATCTAGTAATACTGGGGGATTTCAACCTACCAGGTATAAAACGTGACATCGGTGGTTGTTCGAACGATATACAGGAGCAGGGTTTTGTAGATTGGGTGCATTTCAAAACAATGCACCAGCACGTAACAGAAAACACGCGTTTTAGGCCGGGACAGCAACCGTCTCTGCTGGACCTTGTTATTACACGGTACGATAGGGATGTGCATCAATTGGGCTACTATCTCCCTATAGGAAAGAGCGACCACGTGGTCATTAAGTTTACACTAGAAACAAGGTTACCGAAGCCACATGGACGCATGATGCGCTGCTTCGGAAAATTAGACGTTAATGGACTGTAAAGGAAGGTAGGTGAGCTCGTCTGGCAGCCAGCCGAAGCTAGGTTTGTAGTGGAGGATCTGTAGAGAATAATTAAGGAGAACTGACTTGCATTGCAGGATGAGTTCGCGCCTCTGAAAGTGCGAAAGTCATTCGGTAAATCACCTTAGTGGAAGGCTAATAGGTATCCTACATAGTTAGTTGACCGGTTTCCTCACAAATGAAACTTTCGCAGTCAGAGTAAGGGAAGCTATTTCTCAGGTCATTCGATTGACTAGTGGAATGCCTCCAGGTTCGGTTCTCGGGCCGTTACTCCTTCTGTTATTCATCAATTACTTAGCGGGCTCAACCAACTCACGTTGTTTCGTCTTCGCGGATGACGTCAAGGTAAGGGGATCGAGTGGTAAAGCGAATCTAGCGAGGGAAATCGAAGGGTAGTTGAGTGGTCAAATAAGTGCGAGTTGGCACTGAATGCGGCCAAGTATCAACTATTGACCAAGCAAACAGATCCTTTAGTTGCTGTCGGTACGTGGGGAGTGTTTGAAATCCAACCGGTAGAAACTGCCAAGGATCTTGGGGTAGTAATAACTTCGGATTTCATTCGGGATAGCCAATGTGAAATCGCAGCTCACAAGGTACGGGGAGAACGTTTGCAGCTCAGATCTGCCCTTTATTGCATAAAACCGGAAATCTTTGTCCCGTTTTACAAAGGCCTCATCTAGTATTCTGTGTCCAAGCCTGGACACCTCTGCACAATAAAGACACCGCCTGCCTGGAGTAAGTGCAAAGACCGTGACCTGGCGCGGAGGAATCAAAGTATTCACAGAAGGTTTTTTCCACGTTGATTCTTCTCGAATCCTTGGACTGGGTTCCCTAAAGTCATGGTTCTTATTAGGGTTCACTCTGATTTCCCGCTTTTCCCCTCCAAGTCGTAAACATGAAACTTGTTACAGAAACGAAATTAATTCAGCATTGTATGTGTGCTTATTCTGTGACCAACCCTAGTTTCTAATCCTCTATCCATTCCTGCAAACATCTTCCCATTAAAGTTTGTCCACACCGGCCCTGCAGAAGGTCGCTTCACACTGACACTGAAACTACATGGTCCAAAACACGTTTTACTGGTATCTCACAGATATTTTTTCTCCATTAAAGTTTTATCTCATTTGTTTCTCTTATGACAGAATTATTAAACAACCGATCATTTTTGTACCACAATGAACAACTCAAATCCTCGTGAGTTGAAAGAGATGTTACGATTTGCCATGGAAAATTCTGATAATACGAAACCAACGGAAATGGACCCGGAGGTTTGTGCCTGTTCTTCATGTCTCTAATCCAAACTCAACCAGCGTTCCCAGTGGCTGCAGCAAGCTATGTCTGCGGTCTCGGTGGATCTAACCAAACAGTTAAAAGAAGACATTCAGCTGCTTGCAGATCTGTTGCCAAATGCAAATGATCAGGGTGAACAGTTGGAAACCGTTCTTGAAGACATCTTAACATTAACTGAAGACCTTGATTTGGCAAATGACTTTTTCAAGCTTGGTGGAGGAGATTTGCTGTTTAAGCTAGTTCGCGATGGTCCAAAGATTGTGAAATCTCAATCGTATGAGCTGTTGGCTCATGTCACTCAGAATAACCCGGAAGCGCAGAAGATTTGTGTGCAACAGAATATGTTGCCAGCACTGATCAATTTACTCCCAAAAGAAAAGAACCTAATACATTTAAAGAAACTCTTGTTGGCTTTATCATGTAAGTAATCCCTTTTGTTGGGTAATGCGCATATAAGATTTTTTCGCCAGTTACTTAGTTTAAACTCTTGACTCTATTGACCCTATTG